TAAAATAGGTAAGGCCACAGAAAGTACTGCTTTGGGAGAGTAATCCTAGCCTTTCAGGATGCGCTACTGCACTCCAGGGATTTTGATGTCAATTTTGGATGCTGATGAAACTGTTTGTCTTGTCTTGCTGTTCCCAGCTAACCACGATACTGCCCCTGACGCTAAACCAATCCGTCAGAAAGAGATGGGCTGGGTTAATGGACGAGGGAGCTGCTGTCTAGCGTGGTGTGTGAAACGTGGGTTGGTATTTTGCGTCAGGAGGGGGGGAATACGAGTATGATACCAGGTTTAGTTCAAACCTAATCAAGTGAGATGAATCTCTGTGGATAAAAAGTCACTCTGGAATTGCTGCAGCTGTTTGTTAAAAAAAAAAAAAAAAAAAAAAAAAAAAGTGTTTCCTTTGTTTTGTTACTGCCCTTAACCGAAGGTGCCCTCTGTGCAGCTGAGCAGTTAGCAGATCAGGTGAGCAGTTGCCTTAGTTTGCTTCAGGCAAAGTCTGTTTTGACCAACACTGTCAGGAAAAAAAAACACTTCTGTGAATGGTAATGTAAGTTTTTCTCAGTTACACTTGCAAGAATTTATCTTTGTGCTCTTAGATGAACAGGTTTTCCACGTGCATCTGGGAGCGTGGTGTTTTATGCACTTGCTTGTAGTGTGATCTCGGGGTCCTTGCATTTCTTTTCTTCCAAACTGCCTTCTTAACGCCAGTCAGGTAAGTTGCTGCAGAGATGAGCTGCCAGCATTTTGGGGCTGCTGCTGCTGTAAGGAGAAAAGCCTTAGAAACAAAGGTCCTGCCACAGAGGGAGGATCACATTTTATTTGTCCATCTGGTTGATCTCTGCAAGTCCCTGCAGATGCTGAATGTTCCTTGTTAGTGGCTGTGCTTTGTAATGAGAATTAAAAGCATATTCAAACTTCACTGATGTATTTAGACTCGGCTATTTTGTGTTGTTTGGCAAGTACACTTGCAGATCCCTTTCTACCTTCTTGCTCTGCGTGGTATGTTTAATGATTTGTCTGCAAAAGGTGTAGAGAACTCAGGTTTCAGTTTGAGATGCCAGGAGGCAGCACAGGTTCCTTAGAAAGCAGAGGCTGTAACTGAGGAGCACACCCTGGGAATTGTCCCATTAATTGCTGTGTCAGTTTTCTGCCTCATTAACAGGTGCTGAAAGGCAACACCATCTGAGGAGGAGACTACATAACGAGTAGGGTGCAGGTTTTTTGACTGATTCTGCTGTTGGGCTATAGCCTATGTTGCTTTAATTTTATTTACTTACTATAATTTGCTGTTGATTGCTGATGGTGGCAGTGGACCTCGAGGTACAGGACAATATGACACAATGAAGGCAGGAGATACGGTTAGTAAAATTGGGGAAGAAAACTGAAAAAAAAAAAAAGTTATTAGTTTCAGTTCCTTAAATGATAACATATGATGAATACATGATAAATAATAATAAACAAATAACTTAAGGCTCAGAATTTTATAGCATTGTGTAAAACACATGCCAGAGATGCCTGAATATGGGTAACCAAATAGTCAAGTCCTAAATGTAGTGGCTGTGATACTGGGGTGTGATATGGATGTGGGACAACTTTCAGACAAAGATGTAAACGTAATTTAGCCCCAAATTTATGAACAAGGGCAACTGACAGCAGGCATCCTTGGTTTTGGCTGGATTAGTGCCTTACCTGTTGCTAGGATTTCCTTATGCTGTTTGCAGTATCCAGCAGTTTCAGCAGCTTTCCAAAAGAGGGGAGAAAAAAAAAATTGTGGCAAATGTGTCTGTTTTGATGGGAGAATGAAAACTGATCTGCACCTGAAAATTAGGAAGTTTTTACAAGTTATCATTTGCATTAAAGAGAAAATGAAAGGTCTGATTGTTTCCAGTCATATTTTAATTACTGTCAGCAGTGGGTGGTGACCGTAAAAAGATTTATTGTAGCTCTTCTCTGGGAAGTTGGCATGCTTATTTTAGAGGAAAACAAAAATATCAATTATGGAAAATGAAAGCTTTTCTAATTAAATATTTTCTCATGCTTTTTAAAGAACATCTCTGTTTTTAAAGAACATTTCTTCTTGTTTTGTCACTGAGTTCCTTTCACTTTAGTTATGCTTCATGAATGCTAGAGTCAAACAATTTAAGTGTGAGGGAAAACCTTTAATATAAAAGTTGTACTTTATGTTGTGATAGTTATGACATAGCAAAATGTCAGATTGCAGAGCATCCCTGTACCCTTAAAATGTCACAACGTGGAGATTGGACTCTGCTCCAAACAAAACTATTTTCAGTTGCTATAACTGATTTCTTGGTGGCTGCCAGCATTGAACATCGTGTACTTGGTTAAGGCTTGAGCACTTGTAACTGGAAATTAACGTGGGGGGTTCTGCATTGTGGTTTGTTTGTCATGGAGCCATGGAGGGACGCCTTTCATCAGGAACTTAAAGGTAGTTAAAACTGATGTATAAATCTCCATCCTTGGAAATCTGTGAAATTTGATAAGTCCCTCAGCAACCTGTTGGGATGTTGGATTTATTCTGCTTTGAGCAGATCAGACTGGAGACCTCCAGTGGGCTCTTCTAACCTAGGTGCTTCTGTGATTGTGTATCTAACTGGTTATCTTTTTAACGATTAAAATAGCACTGAAATCCCAAAGCTATAGTGATGTATGTATGTGTCTAAATTACTTTGAACTTAGCGAACAAATATGCATTCAAAGGGTAGTAATTTTTCCTAGTACATTTTGAAGTGGATAAGTATGGTAGGTGTTCAACTGTGTATGAAAAAAACTCATAAAAACTCAAAAAGGTAGAAATTTTTGATGTTATAACAAGCATCAGAGGCAACATCTGTAATACAACTTTGTAGCTTACAAAACTAAAAGGTTCTAATTCTATTAGTTAGGATAATTAAGTTGCAAATACTTCTCAACATCACTCACTGGTAAACAAGAATAAAGCTGTTAGCTAATTTGCTAGCACTTAAAATAAAACCAATTTTTAATTAGTTGCATAAAAAGATGAGTTCCAAGGAAAGTGTGTGCTCATTTATAATTACAGACTCTTGATTACTGATAGCGCTGCTCTTTCTCTGAATTCAGAAATCCTGATGTTGGTGAGGACAGAAAGCCGTCCGCGTAACCTCTATCAATTCTTCTGTGTTTTTCAGGGTGCACGGAGTTGCAGTTTGGAAGCTGCTTCTGGCTATGGCTGTGATCAGGAACAGGACGTAGACTACTTCAAAGCTTTGAGTGACAAAAGATGTCATGCTGACAGCCAGACACAAGCCTCCAGGACTAAGGAGCTTTTAGAGTCGAGCTTACAACAAGTCGTGCCTTTATGCAGAGCTAATCCTCCTGATCATTGCCTTCTGAAGGATACACCCTTTAAGTCTCCGAGTGCTGTTCAAACGCCCGTCTGCAGCCAACATCAGCCAGTTGCAAGCAGTCATTCTGCTGGCATCGCTGGGCTTCACTCACCAGCACAGAAGGAACGGGACAGATGTGTGCTGAGGTCTGCAGCTGCTTCTGATGTGCAGACAGAAGTCCATTTGCCAGCTCAGAAGAAGTTGTCTTTTCCAAAGTGTTCTGAAGAGATGTCTAAGCAAATTACCTCCATCACCTTTTCATCCCGAAAACGTTTTTCTTCCCCTCTGACTTCCATGGCACTCGGTGGCAGTCTTGATGGAGATGTTCTCGATGGGTTAATGCCTTTGGAGGTTGGTTGTGCTAGTGCTGAGGAACAGAGCCATGGCAAGCAACACTGGGAAAGATCTAAGGCTTGTCCTCCTTCAAGTCCAGTTCTCTCTGGCTCACGGTCTAATGAGATGGCATTTGCTGCTGACAGAGCCAGCTTTCATCATGTCTCTGCTGGCAGCGACAGAGCTGGAGCTTATCGAGGAGCAGACTGTTTGTCAGAGCAGGATTCTGTAGGCATCCGTGCTGCTGAGAGACAGACCCTTAGTGCAAAAAAGCCTGACATTCTGTCTGAAGATGTGACTGAATTGGGCAGGCGTGGTGCCAGAATCCTGGGGCTAGACTCTGCTGCAAGATTCAGCCAAGGTACGAGTGGGATTTGTGAACCCCCTGCTGTAACCTCTGAGCAGCAGGAGGAGAGCAGCCCTCCTGGCCACGTCCAGGTGTGTGAGAGCTTAGAGGGTTCCCGTCCAGCCGTACAAACTGATTTGCTGAAGGGCCACGTTAAGCTGTTGGAAGAAGAGCAACGTCCTTCTGATGCAGTGCCTCTTGTTCAGAAAGGAGAGCAAACGGGTGCGTCTCGCCATTCACCTCCAGATGAGGTTTTATCCACCATATCTGTGTCTCCGTCGCCAATTAAGAAAGCGCTGTCTTGTGTCCACATAACTCTTTCCCCAAAATGTCATAACTCAGAGCCGCACAGGGGCTTGGATGCTGCAAATGAGATGAGATTGGGGGATAAACCTGAAGTCAATACCCTACCGGTGCCTTTAAAAACTCCACAAGCTTTATTAGAAGCTGTTTCGGAGTTACCAGCTGCTGCCCTTATTCCAGAAGATCAGAGAGGTTCATCTTTCCCCATGCCAGTGTCTTCAGCAGATCGCTGCCTGCTGCTTTCTTCTGTTCCAAGCACAGCAGCCCAAGAGCTGCCTCCACGAGGCAGTGAGAGTCTGCAGGCTGTGGGTTCAGGGGGATGTGACCTGAAGAACATCTGCAACTCCAGTAGTTCCTGCAGAAACTGGGAAAAGTACCTCTGATGCCACCACCCAGATAACAACAGAAAGTCCTGAAAAAACAACCTTTTCAGCAGAAATTTATGTTAATTCACAAGACGGCGAAAATATTACCCACCAGTCGTCTCTCCAGAAAACATGTAAATTTCCCCCAAACACAACTTCAGCTCTTAACAAAATTTCCTCTTTCCTGAGGCAGGGTGGTGAGCAAATCAGTGTCTTATATGCCTGTGTAGTCTTCCATCTGTTCAAGTTTGAGGTATTTATGGGTAGTGAAACCAAAAACAGAACCCCAGCTTTTTGTGGAAGTAAAAACCTTGAGATAATTCTAATATTGATATTTACAGGTCATACGAAACGAACCCCTACACTTGGGATTTACAGTTTTGTTGGTAGGGAGCTAAGAGAAAAATGTGCCCATCGCTATTTTAGAATGAAATGTAGAATAAAAGAGAACGTGCGGGGCTTTTTAAAGCTTAACAGAGGAATATGGATGTTGCAGTGTGGTTTCCCACACTGATGTTTTATCCTAGAAAAACTGTACAAAAAAAAATGTAGTGTTTGTGCTATTTTCCTGTGCTCTGGACTTTGTATCTCTATTGTCAAGGTGTTTAAAATAGTGCAGTTGAGAACAGATTGCTTCGTGGCATCGGAGTGCAAAATATGCCAGCTATTTGATCAGCTGGTCCCTTCTCTGTTAGAAGGCAGCTAACGTTTTGCTCCAGACATTTGTGTGTGTTCTGTTGTAACAGCTCTGTGTTTATTGACTCAAGAGACAGGTATCGATGCTCATTGTAAATGATTTCATTAACCGTGGGTCAATGGAGGCTCTGTGGATATACGAGTTGTGTTTTTATTTTTTAAGCCAACGTTTGTCACCCTAGTCACAGATTTAATAATTTAATATTGATCTTTGAGGAAAAGCATTGGCAAGTAAGCTATCTTTTCTATTTAATTGACAGTCAGTCTTCCAACCCGTGGGTAGGTATTCATTAGATACTTAATAATATGCAATTTGTTTTCCTAAAGAATATGCTGTTTCTCCAGATTTACTGCAACGACCACCTTCTGTCTGCTTGCATCCTAATTTGTTACTTTTATCTTCAGCTGCATTAAAGGATTTAATCCTGATTTCTGTCAATTGCTTTGCTTTCCATCCCTGCAGATCAGCCGTTACTGCTGCCGTATAAACCTTCTGGAAGCGCTGGGATGTATTATGTTCCTTATGTCAGAGCAGGATCCAAAATTTCTCCAGTTGGATCAGAAACGAGCGTTAAGAGCTCTCACTCAGGTACTTATTTGGCTTAGATCTTCCAATGTGAGATCGTGGTTGTAGTTCATGGGTCAAAATATATCTATTTTGCATGCAGAATTATCTCAGTTTAGCTCAGAACTCTTCTGTCCTGCTAGTTTAGAGGAAGCGTGCTGATTTTAATAGAAAAATGTCTTGGTTCACATTCATGCCACTTTATAACACAAAGATACGTGAGTCCTCACTGAAGGTTATGGTCTGAATTAGATTATAGGCTAATTAGAGCTTGATAATTCTTTACTTTTCTCTGGGAGTTACAGTTTAGTTTTGGCTCTTTCATATCTCTGCCAGTTCTCCTTCCTTATAGTTTCTTTCTTTCTGTATTTTCTTTCTCTCTCTCTCTTTCATTTTTTTTTCTTTAATTTGTTGTGTGTGCATTCTGAAATACCAGGAAATGCCGCATGCATTTCTGATAACAGCTTTCTCAGTATTAAATGTCTTTCCTCCATTTTAGGGGATTCCAGTATAGAAACTTTCTATAAACATTGCAATTTGTAACTATGGATTAAAATACAAGCTAACCTCTCACCTCCCATCCACCTATCTCTCAGTAAAACACACTTCTTGTTTAGTAGAGAAAAGGATGATCTAGAATTAATCATCTTGTTTTTTTTTTAGTTCTCTTCTATGTGTAAAGAACACTATCACTTAAGCTATATAGGTCTTATTTTCATGTTTCAGCCAGAGCTTTTTGACATCCAAAGCTAGTTGTAGGCAAAATTAATATTATAAAGATGTCCAGTTCCCATCAGATGTGCCCCAGGGGAGCAGGTTGGTACAGTGGTGACAGTAAGTGCACAGGTTTGTCACTGCAGCCCCAAGCTGTGCTTGTGATTATTTGTGTGTCCCTGCTCATTCCCTCTTTCCAGTCTGCCCCTTGTAGTATGGTCAGAATGAGAGAAACAGATGTGATGATAAATCAGTTAGGGGCCATTTTAGGTTTCTATCATTAGGACGCAGCGATACAATACCAAGAACCATGCTCCTGTTGTCTTGAATTCCTGTTCAGAGGTTATACAGACCTACTCTTGCCTCCTAGCTGTTCTCCATGGCTATTCTGAGCTCAGAAAATAGGCATTTGCATCACTCAGAGAAAATGTGCAGGAATTTAATTTGAATCGGAGGGAATCTGAAGTCCTGTGTCTGGCTTCCTAGCAGACTTGTCTAATGCTAATTTTCTTGTGTTCTTTGCTGCTCATTAGCAGAAGAGGTAAGGTTATCTGTGTCTCATGGAAGAACGTAGTCACCAAAGTTTGTGGAAAACAATCCTGCAGTGCCTGCTGCCTATTAGTCATTGGATCTGCTCTCTAGGGATCATGATTGCTGCTTTCTGAATGTGCTGGTACTGAGACTGATAATAGGCTTTCTTTCAGACATTTTTGTTGTGAAATTTCTGTATCTCTTCTTTGTGTTTCCACCTTTTGCTCAGTAATTACTGCCCTTTCTTTCTGCAGGATCAAATGATGCTCTTCCCTCAAGGTTTCCAGCAAATGTGCTTGGTTTAAGAGATGATAATCCTCCAGACAGCACAGGCTATCAAGCATAAAGAAGGAAGCTACAGTAAGAGGGCGAAGCCCAAGCTAGCCTGGGCTGAAGAACAAATGATACCCGTGGAGGCTGCCCCAGGTAGTTCATGTGGTGGTATTCTTTTATTTTCATTTATTTTTTGTATGCATTTTAACACACATGAATGAAATCACAACAAAAGAACTAGGATTTACGGATCCATTGTGTTTGGTCCTTATACTATTGCTGATAGTCTCCTTGAAGATGCTAAATCTGATTCATTTTTTCTGTTCTCCATCTCTCTGCTTCTCACTGATTGCCCAAATACATAGAATCATAGAATCATTTAGGTTGGAAAAGACCTCTAAGATCATCTGGTCCAGCCTTTAACCTAGCACTGTGAAACATGGACGTTTCTATTTGCTAGGATTCCAGTGGCTGCAGTGCTTATCAGGGCCTTTGTAAGATTATTTTATTTTTTTTAAGGCACTTTGTTAAGTTTGTGAAGTGCAAAGCTTTCTCTAAGTACAGGAAAGGATGCAAACGCAGAAAATTATAGAAATTCTCAGAAAATATTTTTTATTTTAATATTTTTTTAAATATTAAAAAAAAATATTTTCTTTTTAGTAGAAAAGCACATGGGATGGCTCAGTATATGGGATAGATTTCTTCCTTCCCACAGATACTTTACATGACATCACAAGATACCAATGTATCTCTGTAATGCTGGTCTTTAACTGAGTTTTAATTTGATTTGACCAATGTGTTCCTTCCTCTCCTTCATTAGCCTTCTTGGATGGTGTTCCCGAGGGATGCAGGTCAGGGTTTATACTATAGCAGCCGACTTTAAGGCAATCTTGCATTGTTGGAATGCCAACAAAATGAAACGATGCTGAGCTATCCAATGGCTTTGCACCGTATCTCATGGTAGTAGCTAAAATTAGTCCTGATGGACTTTAATTAATCCTTTTGTACAAACCTCATGCTGCCATTTTAAGTGTCTGATAAACTTCCTCAAGTCTGAGGAGGGATGAGGATTTTTGTTCAGTTTGGGAATTGCATCTTGTTCCTGGGCAGAAGCGACAGCATAAAGAAAATGGTGGCGTGGTTGCCATTTCAGCTCCGAATTCATCAGGGGAGGTATTTATCACAGAGTACAGTTCTTGCAACATGTGCTAAGTTAAACAGAATGAGCAAATTGCAAGAAGGTAATATAACTATGGATACTAATAATGGGTGGGACCAGAACCACGTGAACAGCATGATGGATGCTGAATGAGAGGGTTCCTCTCTTATAGACAGAGTCCTGTATGGTATTTTAGGGAGCCCATTTATTTTTCCTAATACCATATAAACTCACCATATGAAGGTGTTTAATGGAATATGTTTTTGGAATGCATTCCATTAAATACATTATTAAATTCCATTAAATAATCATACTTCAGTATGATTATTTTTGTTGTTTTAAGCAGAGTGCTCAATCTGCCTGGGTTAAGGTCACCCCTTAGAGCTGTGCTGATGTATCAACAGTGATTCCTCCTTCCATTTAGAAGGGATTTTCTTTTGAAGTGCAGCTTTTTTCTTCAGAATGGAGATTACATTATTGATATTTCCAGAAGATAATTTAAAATCTTTCTGTAAGACGCTTAATGCCATTATTTTGTGTTTGTTTTTTTGATGAAGGTGCATAGGATCAATAGTTGAATTAGAGCAACAAAGACAACATTCTCTTAACCTATTTATTTGAACAGAGGAAATAATTCTCTGAACACTTGTAAAATGCAAGGATACAAAAAAGAGGAATAAGACTTTTTAAAAAAAAAAAAAAAAATTTTTCTTTTTCTGGGGATAACTCAAAATAGAAGTTGAATCTTGGGTCACAGTGTTAGAAGTGAAGAATGAGTGTATGGAAGTGAGCTTTCCAAACAAGAATCTGCAATAAGAAACAAAATGCTGCGCTGGAGCAGAGAACCATTTATGCTGTCTCTCTGAATAGCCTGGATAAAAATGAAAGGGGAGCACAACTGTTAATATAAAATTATCTAAAGGTATTTTTTTGTAACAGTGACAGCCTAAAGACACAGGCAGGAAAAGAACAGAGTAGAAATAATCTTTTGTTAAAACAGTACAGTTGAAAGCTTAATAAGCAAGCTTTCTGAAGGAGAACTTGCATGCTTAAAACCTTCTCTGACTCTTTTCAACTGTATTTTTAGCAGGCCTAATAAAAGATTACCCACAGAGCTTGTCTAGAGCTTAAAATTATGCAAGTTATGTATTTATTTTTTTAAAAAATTTCTCTATATAAACTTATTTTTGTTTTTGTCTGTTTGCATTCCTTCTGTCTTGTTGGTAACTTTTTTTTTTTTTTTGTAAAATAGAGAAGTAATAAAAATTCTGCATAGTATTCCCAAGCCTGTTAGTCAGGAGGATGTGGAGGAATGTTCCTACCTAGGAAGAGAAACGTTGACCTTGTATGCAAACACAAATTCCTCTCATTTCAGAGTTAGTGAGACTGGGAGTGCTGTTCCTGGTCTGAACATGACACTGAAATGTTTCTGTGATGAGACAGGGAAGGGAAGAAACAAGTTACTGAATGAAAGTCAGGTTTACGAAGCCTGTGTTAACAGGATAAAATGATGTAATTTTATCATAACTCTTTCTGTGCTTGTCTTGCATCACTACTTCCCATGTGGAATTGAGGTTTTGTAAATCCCCAGCCTGTGTTTCATGATGAGGCAGGTAGGTTTTTCCTCCGTGGGGTGGGGAGAGGCCTGGTTGTGGGACTTAATATCCCTTTTGCTGAAAAGCAAGATTTGCTGCTGTTAACAAAAAAAAAAAAGGACTTGACAGTTCTATGTTTTTGTTACCATCGCAGAAGGAGAGAAATGAGAAGATAGCTTAAAACAACAAAACATTTTCGGGGAGGATGTTGAAAAGCTAGGGAAAACTAATTTGAGTGTTTGAGGACTTGAGAAGTCCTTCTGGCACTAGGATCTGTAGTTCCTGCTTTCTTCCTTTATGGATCATTGACTGTATAACTCAGTCCGTTGTACAAATGAAAACATTTTTACTTAAAAAAAAAAAATGTTTTTTACAGTTTATCAAAATGGCTTTAAAGTTGTCTTTGGAGTATTTTTTTGCTAGTATGTGCTGCGTGCATACTTAATGTGTGTCTATTACCAATGAGTTAGTAGTTGTATTCCTGCACGTAGTGCTCTGTAATTGCAGGTAGTAGCATATTCTTGGGGGATTTCACTGCTACTTTGAGCTAAAATGTGTGATTTGAGCTTGAATAAATATCAGAGCTAGGTCTTGGTGTGCTACCAGAAATGTTTCCAGGAGCTGTACAGAAGGTGGTATTGGTTGTCTTGTATATAGTGCTCCTCTGAGTTAAGAGGTAATATTCAGGCATAGCCCTAGGGGGATGTTTCTGCTCCCTGGGCATTTGTCTGAAAGGCAAAACGAGCTGTGGCTTCTTGTCGTGAGTTTCCATAAATGTAAGTTTTCCAATAATATAAATTTGTCCAAATTTTGATCTCTATTACATGCTGACGTATCTAGATTCCTCCTTCAGATTCAGCTGGATCCAGCATTCTCTTGGGTTCTGTGTTGCAAATGATAGAAAATACTATTTATGTACTTTTAATAATGCTAAAACTTGATTCCTAAGTGAGTTGTGATTTGGGAATGGGAAAGGTGAGATGAAAGTCACCCTGTTTCAAATATGCTGGTTTTTATTTGCTTCCATGTCAATGAACAAAAAAAAATAATAAAAGGTTTTTCTTCTGTTGCAGAACACACGGATCATTTAAAGTCTGTGAAAACCACTCACTCGGTCTTCAAGTCTGCCCAGTTCTACCTTCATCATCCCATGTCCATGCGTGAGAGCTCCTTCCAGTCGAACAGCGAGCCCTCAGAGGATGGTTCGGGTGTTGGACGTGCTAGACCTGCCTCAAGTGCTGTCCTCCAGAACTGGAAGAATGCACATCGCCATAAACATGTTTTCTCTGCCCGTCATAAGAACGATGGTGAAAATGAGTTCTTCCCACTCGCTGCAGAAGCAGATTATAGCAAGAACGAGGATCTAAACGTTGGTACGTCTCCGGAGAGTGAAATGCCTAGAAAGGAGCTGCCTCAACACGGCAGGAGAGACTCAGAACAAAAGGCAGCTAAAAGTTATCCTTTAGCATTTAGCCAAACAACCTGTCTTCATGAGAATGTGGAGAAAGACCTGCCGCTGAGGCAGAGAACCCACTCCACCTGTAGCTTGGATGACCTCTGGGTTAAGTTTCTGGAGCGCCAGAAGAGATACCAGCACCATGATTTTAGGGGTAACAGTGAGCTCTCCCTCGTTGAGCGCCTCGATCGATTGGCCAGGGTCCTTCAGAATCCCATTAAGCACACGCTAATACCAGCAAGATCAGGAAAGAATGTTTTGGAAAGAAAATATAAGATACGGGAGCAGAAGAAAGTGAGGCTGCCAGAAAAGAGCACGTCTGAAAGTTCCTCGGAGCCTCATGCAGCATGTGTTGAAGAAAGGCCATTTATCAACCACGATGAAAGCAGCTTTGTTGAGCTTAGGAAAAGTAGGTCAGGAGAGAAAACGATTTGCCACATGCATAAAATTTTGGAGCACCAGCAGTACTTGGAAACTTCTAGTGACACTTCCTCGGAGAGCAGGCTTAGTAAAGATCACTGCACCACAGTCAGTTCCACCATCTCTGAATCAGATGGGGTAACCCAAACAGAGCTGGAAACTGTTACTCAGACTGAGGTGAGCAGTTCCATTTCCACCATCGACACCGCCAGGCTCATCAGGGCTTTTGGGCATGAAAGAGTGCAGGTGTCACCACGACTTTCCCAGCTTTATTGCACCATCAACCACCAGAAGAGTCGCTCTGAGAAGTGGGACAAGGGAAGCAGCAGAGCGGTGGGCGTAGAATATCCCAAGGTTACTACTGAGAAACACAGGAAACGGAAAGAGACCCAGGTACGTGGTCAATTAGACCAAAAGGTAATTTTAGCTAATTTTTACAGGCACTCTTAAACTGCTGTATAGCAATAAAGTCTGTTGTTACTTGGAGAATCGCTCAAAACACTGCAGTGGTAGGCTTCTATCTTTGATACCTCAAAAGCAAAACACTCTCTTTTGCCTCTTCAGCAGTAAGGAGGAGCTCAGAATACCTTAAAACATCCATCCTGCTTCCTTTCTTCATGTTCCTATATTTTTTTTTTCCCCTCTTTCTTCATTTGCCTTGGAGGTAGTCTTGGGAAACAAGATGCTGCTCTATCTTATTTCTCGTTACCTGCAGGTTCTGTGCTTTTTGCAGTCCTGGTAGAAAGTTCAGGTTGCAGCTTTTGACTGCACATTGCTACCTAAATATATCTGGGCAACAATAAATTCACTGTTTAATAAAAAAATATCAAAGGATTTATATGAATTTTATTATTGTTTATCTATTTTAGATGTTGGAATTTAATCAACATCTGAGTGCTGGCTGGTTGTAAGTTTCTGTCTTTGGCAGTTTAGGCATATTAAAAGAAAGCATTTGGCCTGAGAGCTCTAGACAAAAACTCTGGAGCAAAGCTGTTTTGAAGCTGAGAGAATCGTTCTGATGGCTTCAGTTGAATTTGTAAATGGCCTCCTGCAGGAGAAATGGAAATCAATTTCCTGAAAGGGGGCCATGGTAGGGGCTTGATGATTATAGAAAGAAATGAGAGCTCTGGGGTTCTGTCATATACACTAATGCTGAAAAGTACAGGAACAAATAGGAAATATTTCTCTCTTCTTTTTAGTGGAAGAAAGTGATGTTGCTATTGTTAGTAATGGATTTTAGAGAAACAAGTTAATTTTTCTTAATACAATCAACCTAAATTTTTCTGTCAAGTTACTGAATGCAAGTCTGGGAAGAAAGACTTTCAAAGGCTAAGAATTGTTTTAAAATAAATTTATTAATATTATGAAATAAAACAGTCAAACTTTGCAACAGTTAAGACCATTAATCACTACACTGACTGTCTAAATATGGAATTAGGATCCAACATATGCTGTGCATGTGGTTGTAGTGTTTGGAGGAAATAGAATCACAGAAGAGTTTGGGTTGGGAAGGACCATAAGGATCATCTAATTCCAGCCCCCTGCCATGGGCAGGGACCCCTCCCACCAGCCCAGGTTGCTCAAAACCCCATCCAGCCTGGCCTTGGGCACTGCCAGGGATGGGGCATGATGATTTTATTCCATATTCTTTTGTAAGACTGATCCTTCAATGTCTATTTAGACCTTAAAAACAACCTCTGGTCTACTTGACTTTGACAATCGCCTATGAGATAACAGATTCCAGTAATACTTACGTGGGAATAAAGGCTTACTGTTCTCAGTGCTTGGTGTTGCACTGAACCCATATGGCTCTTAGAAAGTGGTAACCTTTATCTGATGATGTGCTGTGTGTATAACCAACACATAAAGAGGTGCTTGACCTGCCTCAAGTAAGGATGAGAGAAAATTAATGGCAGAACGTTAACTTCACTGTAAAATCCAAATGTTGATGATTTCCGTGATGCTTGGCGGAACAGAAATCAAGATCTTTTTTCTAGTTGCAAATTTCTGTGGTTCAGAAACTGCTGTTTATTTATAGCAGGAGCTCTACTCCTAAGGAGACTACTGTACAAATCTTGCAGACAAGCGCTGCGCTTTGTAGCTCAGTTGTTTTTTTGTTTTTTTTTGAGAGCCTATTGTCAGCTCTGCTTCCAGAAAACTTGATTGCAGCCTATTTTATTTATAGACGCTGAACCCATCCCAGAAGGTTTTCATCTATTCCAGTTTGTTATTCCTAAAGCACTCTTAAAGCTGCCATCTGGTAGCAGGTACAAAACTAAAGGTTGTGCTATTTAACTGCTTGAAGGGCTTTGAAGGCACTGCGCTGAGTTTTCTGGTCCAAATAGGAATCTGCGTGTCAATATTCAGTACCAAATCTCTGCCTGTATTTATTTCTGCATGTGCATGCAAATGGATTATCTTGTTTGTTTTTTTTTCCCTACTTCATCCCATCTTTCCTTTTGCTGAGCAGCCCGTATTTACATTTGCTTCTGCTCTCTGAAAGAAGATAACACACCTACTACAGCTGCCTAGTGCACTGTGTCAGAGCTGTAATGGTTTTGTGAAACTAAAAAACAGCTCTTCCCGGCGTGCACGAGAATAAAAAAATTGCCTCCTTTAAATGTGGAAATGAAATTGTTTTGCATTGAAGTGGTGGTAGCAGAGGATCAATCAGAAGGTAATAAAAAGCCTTTGTTCATTTCCATTGTGGCTAGCGTTATGAGTTACTAATAGAATACTAATTGCTATGATCAAGCAAAAACCCAAACAAAATCTGCTTCATAATTAAAAAATGAAATTGAGCAGGGTTGCAGAGGCTGAGCTGTGCCGCGCTGCTGGGTTTGAAGCCCAGGGAAGCACTGCCACTGACCTGCTGTTAATAAAGCACTGCCATTCTCTGTGCTTTCTATATCCGAAACAGCTTCTGGACTAGATGCATTACACTTAAAATTTACCATATGTAAAGTTATAACGTATTAAAATAATGTAAATTCTATGGCAGTCGTGCTGCCTGTTCTCTTTGTGGCTGGAGCTACTGTTTGTGTGCCTGTTGATGTTGAAAGTATTCTTTTGCCTAAGCTGTGCTCTTACCACCTTGCCTCTTCCTTTGGAGTTGAATTTTCTCCACCTGGAGAACTTTTTGTAGTGAGGATCCCAAGGGTGAGAGAACTTCTTGTACTTGGAGATTTTGCTCTTTCGTGCCAGTGTTGCAGATCTGGAGTTTGCTGTGAATTCACTCGAAAGAGCAAGATGTTGTTGCTGGAGGGACAAATTGTCTTGAAAGAACACCAGCCACCTCTAAAGGCTTTTGGTTTGAGAGGGTAGGAATATAGGATTCGGTCCAGATGTATTTTCTCCCTCTTCCCAAAGCAGAAACAAATGATCTTGGTGCTGCAGAGGGGTTTTAGAAGAGTTGTCTCAACAGGCCATGCTGTCCCATGAGCTTCGGACAGATGAAGAGGAGGATGCTCAGCACCGTGCAGAATCTGCTCTTACAGAAACCATGCATTGTTACTAGAACAGGGTGCTCCAAGTGAGTGCATTGCTATAAAGGCTATAAAACCAAGGCTGACTGTTGTGTGGCACAGCAGTAGGTGACACTGAGCAGGCTCTTAACATCTAAATAACGTTAGAGTCAAGGTACTGCAGATAGGGATGACTTTCTTGCTGTTTAAATCCCTCTTCCTTTTCGTTTCAGTTAGGTTTTTAAGAATTTCTGTTGTTTTTTCTCCCCCTCCAGAAGGCAATCCGTGTTTCGTTGGATTCAACTTCTTCAAGCAGCAGTTCTTGGGGGCCCAGCTCAGCTCTCAGTAACAAGCGACGAACACGGATGTTAAACAAAGGTGTCCAAGCAGGTGAGCTCTCAGCTTCCAAGCTTGTCTTTCATGTTTTGCTTCTGCCTTTTATCTCTTTGATCTTTTATCCCATTTTCCAGTGTCTGTTGTACCTTTCTGGTTACAGGTATGTATATGCAGCATTCTCCAAATTCACTTCATGTGCTTTCAGAGAAAAATGTTCTGGTCTAATTAAAATGACCCATTTCATTACATTTCTTGGCCTGTTGAGTAGTAGCCAAATTTCTCACTTGCTAGTAAGTCTTATTAACCTAAACTTCTGATTCATTTCAATCGTAAAGGTGGACTGATGATTTTTTTTTATATCTTGTTTTCTCTGTAAGACATCTGTTACTCACAGAATGTATTTTGTGGGCACGTACTATTTCAGAAGGCCTGTGACTGCAGCGTTTCATATTCCTCTTGGTAATATTTTGGATGTTATGTTCTATTTAAAACACAAGCTCATCCTGATCTGGTGCAGTTCTGCATTCAGTTTTTTCCGGTGGCAGTTTCCAGTTCCTCCATTACTTTCATTTAAATGCCAAGTTCCTACCGTAAGATTGAATAGTGGCTTTTGTTTCAGTCATCAGACACATAATTTATTTATTACCGCTTTTTTCATGTGCAGCAGTGGTTCAATTTTACTCCCACACTCTTTTAATACAAGTATATAATCGATATACATACGTATTTGTATATTATTTATATTCACATATTACATATATATATATGTATATATATAAAATGCACACATAATATACATTTTTATGTATTTATACATTTGTATAAATAACATATAAATAAAAATATCCCTGCTTTGCCTGGGGAGCTGGATTTACACATTTTTAATCTTATTTATTTATCATTTAGTAACAATCCCAAGTAACTGGATTTGCTTTGAATTTGAAGTGAGAATATAAATGATTTTGCTTTTTGAAGATGGGGTAAAAGTGACCCTTCAACTCCAAAGTAAAAATTGAGGTCACCCCCTGAACTATGCATGTTACAGGTGCTGATGTTGAAGTACTTCCAGATGCTCTAGAATAAGGTGTTACTGCATTGTTTTGATCTACAGGAGATTTAGAGATTGTGAACAGTGCAACTAAGAAAAACACCCGGGATGTTGGTGTGACTTTTCCTACACCAAGGCCCAGCCAGCCAACTCAACGGCCACGGAAACCCTGGCATTGTGTCGATGGTATTTTTGGAGAGTCAGCTGGTATGGTCACAGATCATCAGGCAGCAGGAAGCAAGGGTAAGCAGAAGGGACAGCCAGGCAATTTTTTCATGGAGAAAAGGACAAAAAGGAGCAGACTGCATTTACCACAAGGTCAGTCCAAAATACACTTTCTGCAGAGCAGAAAAGCTCTGCGTCTCAACAGCAACCACCAAAATTTATGAGGAGGATGAACTGGAATGTAGTAGTCTCTAACTCTAATCTTGTCAATTCTTACATTGTTTTTAATCAGTAAATTTTAAACAAAAATGCTCACTATGGCAAATGAGCTTTATACTGCTCTATGATGTATTTTCAATCAAGCCACTAGATGCAGCCTTAACAATAAAGGTAGCACATAGGAGGCAATGAATAAGGCAGGGGATTAGGTAGGAATCTTGTAGGTATGTGGTTTCATTTTCAAGGTATAAAAGATTCTGCTAAGTTCTGAGTAACTTGACCCTATTAAGTTGTAATTACTGCTTCATATACTAAGGCTTCAAAGAACAAGTTTTTTTTTTTCTTTTCTTTCCCCAGAGTACTTAGGAGAAGAATTTGGTTCCAGAAGAGCTAGACTTGTTTCCCTCTTTCAGCTAGAGTTGCATTTTTGGGCTGATGGAGTAGTTTCTTGATTATTTTTTTTTTAAATTTCCTGACAGCCTTCACAGTGTCACGATTAAATGTTTAAAAATATTTTCCTTAGTCATCATTGTTGTTGTAGGGACAAATCACTCTCTCTCATACCGTTTTTATTTAGAAAATTTAGAATATCTGCTCAGAATACTAGCTGATGTATTCAAACCCCATTATGTATGTAAACTGTGAGTAATCTAATTCTTGTATACATATTTAACACTTGGAAGATGTAAAACATTTGTTCTTCAAAAAAGTCTATAAAAAGCCATCAGGTTTAGAACATACAGAGACTCCTTAAAATGTGTAATTGCTGATAAGTAACTATTCATAGGATGGTTTGGGTAGGAAGGGGCCTTAAAGATCATTTAATGCCAACCCCCTTCCATTGCCATATTCTTTCTATAAAGGGAGAAACTTCCAAGTGAAGCCATTTCGTGCCTTTCCAAAAGTGCTGTTTGGTAGGGGCTTGTTGGTTTACTGACACTTGGCAAAAAATTTCTTCAGAAACAACTGAAGGTAGAGTCCCACTGAAATTGGTGTAGTAGCTAAAGTGAGTATTTATTTCAGTGTTAGGCCCCAGATTGTATTTAGCTAATAAGGTCTTGGGCATGAAGGGCCATAGATGGGGATGGAAAAAGGGCATTGTGTATCTTTATCTTTACTGTCTTCTGTGGTCTCCTCCACAGGAATTTCATGGTTTGTCCAAGCAGAGGATTTGAAATCTGAATCGAGGAAAGAAAACTTTTCCACTTCTTGTCCTGGTCCGTCTTGGTTTGAACCACTGACCAACACGAAGCCCTGGAGGGAGCCTCTCCGAGAGAAGAACTGGCAAGAGCAGCAGCACAGCACCGTGACTCAGCCAGCAATTCCAGAAAGAGATGCTGAGACCAGGGCCTTTCGGCCACTTGTGAAGCTTACGCTACAGGTAGAGGCACGCTGGGATCTCTGTAGGATTTTGTTGGGAGTAATGCTGAATCTTGTGGAAACACTTTGTTCTTTTTTTGTTTTGTTTTATTAACTCATCTTTATGATTGCTGCAAATCAACAAGTTAGACCGTTCTTTCTTAAAAAGGCAAAACTAACCAAAACACAATGAAGTCATCAGGCGTGTTTGTTTATTATTGTAGTCTGGCGTTGCCCAATATGATAATCTATTTGAATTGAGCTCATATTTTAGGGCTTAAATCATTTGGTTTCAGGAACTAGAGGGAATGTAGCTGAAGTAATGCCAAGTCATACCTGCTTCCATGCAGAAGTAATAGTGTGATGTGCATAGTGTGTGATTAAAGTGGGCTTTGATTCATACAGTGTAAGCACTCAAAATGCTGATATTCATGCACGTGCATATATGATGCCCACTCAAGATCCAATTGAGTGTGATCACTCTAAATATCTGGGAAAATACAGATAATAGCATACAGATATACTTTTGAAGATGATCATCCATAAAAAGTGAAAACTAAATTGGCAAATGCTAATGCAGGTGTGCTTCCGAAGTTTAAGTTCAATTGCATCTATTCCTGTGTTCAGGGACTTCCCTGTGATGGAAACTGAAGCGTGGCAAATAGGGCTATCAGGAGATATTAAAAAAAAAAATACAACAACAAAAAATTCCATTTTTGATCAAAAATGAAGTTCTAATGTTGATGTGCCTATTAATTTCTAGCAATGGAGACTATAACAAGTTATGTCATCTACAGGCTAAACTTTGTGTGAACCTTGCTATGCTTTTTTGAGAAGAGGTTTGTGTCCTTTTTGCTAATTTTTTAGGCATTATTTTTTCCTTCCAGCTTGTTAGTTTCCTTATTGTTGACAAATTGTGTGTTACACAAGGTCTCTGAGGATCTACCAAGCACTAGGGATGCGTGATTTTGTACGTTATACCAAATATTGCTTTGGGATTACTTTTCTCCATGCTTTGGTAATGAATTAGATATTTCATTATTCTCTTCCAGCTGCGGGGAGTCTGTCTGACCACTTTAGATTTTGTTTTGTCATCCCGTCTTAGGAGGCTCTTGCAGTGCATCGCCCTGATTTCATCTCTCGCTCTGGCGAGCGTGTGAAGCACCTGAAGCTTGTAATGGAGGAAAGGAGGATACAGAGCGTGCTGCAGTCTGAACGTGAAGAACTATTTAATCCTCCAGAGAAAAGGAAGGGCTACAGGAATGCAAGTCACATGCTGTCTGACAGAGGTACCTTTGTGGTTCTGCTCCTGGTGTTCTATAGGAATGAATTAATTTACCCATTGTTCTGAAGGATGTGTGTATTTTTAATAAAAGTATTACTTTTTTATGTTATCTGTAAAAAATACAAAAAGGAGAAAGATGTATGTAACAGAATGCTTTGTGATAAGCAGACTTGTTCACTGTGCTCTTATCCTAAAACTTTCTATTTAGGCTACCTGGTTAAAGAAAAGAGAAAAACAATTCCGAAGAGTGAAATGGTTCAAAGATCTAAACGGTAAGGTTAAGAAACTTTTGTTTCAGATAGATAAGTGCCCTGAATAAATGAGTAGGAAAGATGGATGAATTGTATCTGTAAGAAAAAAAAAAAAAAAAGGGATTTGGTGATAATTCAGCTCTTCCTGTGCAAGATGTAGGGACTTTATGAGAGTAAGAAAGCACCTATTCATAAAATCCTACAAATAACACCATTTTGGAAAAAACATTTCACGTAAATTGAGTATTCTGCTGCAGTATCTGCGGTCCAAACACTACAGCAAACTGTCCAAGTATTGGATCCCGAAAGGAGATGAAATGTAGGGTGCAGGCTAATGGAGTGTCCATATAGTTTTAAACATTAGCAAACTAGGTAATTGGGGCAGGAAGTAAGGTACCATTTCACCAAATGGAGGTAGCTTTGTGGAAGAAATAATTATCCACAAAGGAATAGTGAGGATTTTACCCTTGTAAAAAAAAAAACAAAAAAACACACCATGTGATAGATTTTGTCTTATGTATGATTCAAGTACTTCATAGCTAAATGCACAACACACTAATGGTATATTAAACATTTGTAATACTTGTGCCATAGAGATAATATGCAAGGGTTTAATTAAAAAAATGGTGTTTTATTGCATCTGGATTCTGAAATGATAGAGATACAAGAGGAGGTGGTGGAAAGGTACCACCTGAGAAACAGCAGAAATACTTAAACATAAATTAGCAACTCACGAAGCTGTCTCTGATGGTGTAAGTGCTTTGTTGCACCAAATGCAAGTGCTACACGAAGGGAAAGGTTTGTGCTACGGACAGTATTTGGGGTCAGAACTGTTTCATTGCATTTTTATCAGTAGCAATGGGGTGGAACACACCTCAGCAGTTTTTTGGGAGGACCAGCCAGTATGCATGAGAGTAGCTCTAGAGCATCTGGAGACCTCTGCAGGCTGGAAAGGGCCAAGATCAACAACAAGAAGCATCAAATGTCTCCTGGGGACACAGCAACCCCTTTAACTCTAACTGTGTTACAGTTAAAGAGAGAGACTAGAAAATGAGTATCTCACAAGAGGGTTGTGAAATGCTGGACCTGGGGCCAACAGAGATGGTACAATCTCCATCACTGGAAACAGTCAGAAGTTGGCAGGATGAGGCAGGAGCAACTTGATCTAGCCTTGAAATTAGTCCTGCCTTGAGGAAAAGGTGGACTAGGTGACCTCCAGAGGTCCTTTCCAGCCTAAATCACGTAGTGAATCTGCAAACTATCCACTGGAATGCATAATATATAAAATAAACCTTGTGATATATGTGCTAGGGGACAAAAAGGGTGTGTTATTTCAGTAGCCTTTGGCATTTAACAGTATTTTTAGGGCATTAGTTAAAAGGTGACAGAAGTGGTAAATATGCCAGCTCCCCCAGGAATGTACCTTCATGTTTTAGTGGAAACGGATTTGGATTCAGGTCACTTGGACTGTGTAATCAGCATATCTGAACTCACGTATTTTTCAGAAACTCTGATTTCATAACACCGAAGTCAGCAGGATTTCTATGGAGACTGATTCAGGCAGTCGCACTCGGTGACATTTTTTTGTTCTTACTGCTGTCATACTCCAGCTCTCAGTTGGATCTGAGAAGTAATTTATTCTGTACCATTCTTCTGAAATCCACACCTATAATGAGTACAGAAGCTCTTGCTTTTTCTCTGCAAGGGTATAAATGGAATTTCTCAGGGTAAATTAGCTAGAGCTAATGAAAACCATTTTCAGGGAGTTTACCTACAATTCTGATTTGTCCGTTTCCTGCTCTAAATATCTTTGTGGTGGGGTGAATGGGTGTGTGGTAAACCTTGATCTTTCATTGAGGGGAGCCCTAGAATGGTGAAGCCATTAGCGAGTGGTGAGTTGGTAGTAAAACAAAACCCCAAACCCCCCGCTCCAGTAGCACTTCTATAGACCTAGCACCCTCTGCTGCCTATCAGCAAAGCATCAGAGATGGAAAATAAGCATCCAAATATGGTTTACTTCCTCTTTTCGGTAGCAGCATTGTGGGTAGTGACAGTTTTAGAAAGATGGCCTTAAGAGCAGCTGCAGACAGAGTAGGAGAATAGAAATACATGCAAAGAGGTAGGTCATGGAAACAATTCCTTTATTTTCTTTATTATTTTTTGAATCTAATAGCAGTTGTCTTTATAGATGCAACATTAAGTGGCCTGTTTAGGAATTTCCTGGTGTTGGATTTGTATTTCCTTGCCTTCAGAGGACATAAGCTCAGCAGTTCAGCTGTGATGGATTGGTACCCACACTGGTGTAACACTTGTACAAACGAGTGCGGCTCTCCCTAGCTGATACTGGGGAATTAGGACATAAAAGTCAGTTCCAATCAAAATTTTGAATGATTCCTTGCTTTGTTGACTCTGCTTTCTTAGTTATCTTTCACTTTCATTTTAGTTTGTTTCCCTGCCAACTTCTAGTCCTTCTGTCCTTTGAAACATGGAAGTAACACCTGAGTCTTGCTGACTAAATAGCAAGTCAATGCAAGTTGACTTGTTCACCTCCATCCCTTCTTTCACTGTTTTGAAGAATTACTTATTTTCCTGCTGGAGTTAGGACCAAGACAACTGTGAAAGACGCCCCTCCTCCCTCCTGGCTGGTGGGCTGCGTTGATTTGCAGTGTTCAGAATGGAATGGGTTGAAGCACTTGCAGATAATAGGAGTTGAAGGCATAGATGCGTTTAAAATATTCAAAGGGAACAGTAATTATGGAAAGTTGTTATCATATTGACGTAAGAATGAAGCAGTCTCTTAAAAAGTGTACCCTTGCAGTATTATAACTCTTTTTTTTTTCTTCCTTCCCTCCTCCTATTGCTGATTATCAAGTCAGTACGTTAAGGAAGGAGTTATAGTATCTGTCTTGCCTTAAATATAATGGGACTGGAATTTTGAACAGGGTTCATTTTCACGTCCCATAGACTGTAATCTTTTTGAAGCTGCATGGTTCCTGGCAACCACTGTCATGAAATGAGTAAAGCCCTATGATCTTAAAGGAAGGTATGGGGGAGGCAGTGTCAGCAGTGCTCTGCCACCTTAGCAATTAGGTCCCTTCTTTAGGTGGCACCATATAAACCAGACTAGAACAGCGCAGTGATGCTGGGGTGAGCATCAGGCACCTTCATTTTTATTTCAGAGCTTATTTTTCACGTGTGACACTAGTAAACCCCCAAATACAATTGTGACAGGCTGGTAGCCTTCAACAGAATGTAAGATAAAAAGGAGAATGTTTTTATTTCGATAAATTCCTTCCTGCCAAGTCACTATTTTTGACTTCTTGTATTTACACTAAGGATCTACGAGCAGCTGCCAGAGGTGCAGAAGAAGCGAGAGGAAGAGAAGCGAAAATTGGAATACAACTCGTACCGCCTGAAAGCACAGCTTTACAAGATGGTAGGTGTTCTGGTCAAGTGTTTATTTTGGAACCTGTTAGAATTTTTTTTTCCCTTGATGTCACAAGCTTTATAGTAATACTGAGTGCTAATTCTGTGGTGTTATTTTGCAGATTCTAGGTGATTAGGATAATCAGGGTCAGAGAAGTCAAGCTTATAAAAATGTGAAACAAAAAAACAAAACAAACAAAAAAACCCCAAACAAACAAAAAAACCCACCAAACATCTAACCTGGAAATCTTCCAGTACCTACGTACTGTGTAGGGGAGGAAAAAAAAAAACCAAGGAAGCATAGTCCCATGTAAGCAGCACACAAAAAAGGCCATGTGCAGAGTCTTGAGGGCAGACCAAGGTGGGCTGTGGAGCATATCCAAAGGAGATACTCCATAAATAAGCTCCTGGAATTGAAGGCTGCTGTTGCAGCTCTTGTGCACCTTTGCTGTAGATGACTTCAGCATACAATATTCACAGATAGCTTTGTAGCCGTGTTTAAAAAAGCCTCGAGCTGTTGTTCCTAACTTTTCTCCAGTGGAGAATTGGCAGTCCTGGTGGAAATTAATGGTGATAATTAAATTTGAGGGCAGTGGATTTCACAATTAAATGTCTGTTCAGTTGATAGTATGGTCTTAGTGCTCTGGCACTGATCAGCCTAGGATCTGCTCTGTCTGGCGAGCTGTGGAATAAACTAGGCACACCCACACTTGGGGATACCAGTTTTGAACCTCAAACACTGACCAGCAGTTTATGAACAGTTCCTGTGCTGTGGTCTCACCGTACAACCAGCAACAGGTCACAGGTGAGGTGAGGACTCCAGGATTTTGGTGAGAAGGAGGAGAAGGAATCTGTGGGGACGGTTTGGCTGGGTTACTCTAGGGCTCTGCTGAATCCTGCCTCATTCTGCCATGAAGTGGAGAGATCCCTGCAGGGAGCTGCTTCTGTCCTAGCCAGCAATTGCTGCTAGAACTCTTCCTCCCTGGCTGTCCAAGTTTTTTAACAAGTGTTTTATGTGTTGGTTAAGCTCAGGTTTTATTAACGAAAGACTGAAGAGTGTGCAAGAGACTCCTAGGTTAATCACAATGAGTAACAAGGAGAAGTCTTCTGTCCCTTCTCTCCTCCTATGTGCACACATCTTGTCTTGTATTTCTGTGTAGCAAAGCTTATCAATTTATATACAGCGAGTGATGTGATAAAACAGAGGAGGCTAATCAGTCCCTTCTGCGAAGCACATCTCTCAGGCTGACCAGTGTATCCCTTTTTGAGCTGCTTCAGCCACCCAAACGTTTTTTTGTTAAGACAATGAAAGCTAAAAGATGGGAAACGACAGTCTACTACAAACAGTGAGGTTTTAACCTGACTCACCTGCTTGCTTCCTAACCCATATACCAATAAATGCAGCCTTCTGCAGAACTCGGGAAGCAGAAGAACCTTCCTAATCTGGTTTTGGGTGCTTATGACTAGAATTACTTCAATTTGCTGTCATGATTTTACACTGTATATTCACAACATATTTTTGCACTAGTCTGAGAACCTCGGATGCCAGTACAGTAAGGTCTCAGAGTTGATGATTGTTGGCAGTAACTCACTTGAAGCAGTGTAATCAGCTGGAAGAAGAGGGAATCATATTGAAAGTTTTGTGTACAAGTGTTGTTTTGATTGCAAGAGGATGGTGATTCATTGCAGTAAATACTGTAATCTTTTGTCTTTCTTGATGATGCAGAATAGCTGTGGTGAGTAGCTGTAAATACAGTGAATAAGTTTGTTTAGAATTTTGGTAATGTGCTGCTGAGAGCATCAGTTTCTAAAGCAGATCCGATTGTGTGTCGGGGAAAAAAAAAAGAACTACAGATTTTGTGGAATGGCTCCAAAGATGACACAGAATATTAGGAGGGGAAAACTGTTTTGTTATGCTGGTACGAAAGCTAGACTATAAAACATAAGTAATCACGTAATCTAGGGTTTTATCATTTAAATGATCTGTCACAGAATCCAAACTGGCCTGAGCATCTCTTGCAGTGACAAGTTTGTGAACTGCTGATGATGCAGATCAGTGCTCTAGAATAAACGTGGCTTTTATGTTAATTACAGTTTTCTGGAGGATATCTGTTGCCCCCTGCTAGGTTTGTATAAGGTCTTGTTCTATCCAAAATCGTTTGGCATGCATCTAGAGACAAAGCTTGGGAAGGGAGAGGGGTTAGATAGTCAAGTAGCCTACTCGAGGCTGTGTTTGGGTCACGATGCCTGTATTCTCCGACTCCAGGTCAGTGTTTATGGCATGACTTGTCCCTAATGAATCTTCACTGTCCTTCTCTCTTTGGATTTTGACAGGCTAGCACTGGACGTCTTGGTGGGGGAAGGATGTACTCGTGCCACAGTTCGGGGTGCAGCTCAGTAGGTTACCACCAAACGTTAATAGCTGGCAGAGGAGCACTAATGAAAAAACAGCTGGGAAGGAAGGGGATGTCTTACCTTCTTCTCTAGTTTTTGCTCAGTAAATGAGAATTTGAGCATTCTCCAACCACCTGTGGATTTATTACTCATTATTATCAGAACAAAGAGTACTTACACCCTAAGTTTATTACATATCAGCCACGGTGTAATATGGCTCTGGGACTCTTCCTGGACATGTAAGAAGCAAAACTTAAGTGTGCCCCTCACTGATTGCAGTGCAGATGGCTCTGAGGATGTGGTTAGCTGCCAGTACCCACGTGCAGGCTGTTTCTGCCATGCATTGAGGGCTCACAGGTTAAGGATGTTTAATGTCTGGGAAGGGAAGCAGTGAATTAAATGTGTACACACACTCATCCTTACGTACGTGACCATGGACAAGTGTTTGCCAGTATCACTTGCGAATGAAACCCTCACAGCAGTATTAGAGGTATGTTGGGTATAAGTGCATGTTGATATAATTTGTGTCAGCGCTTCAGAAGGAAAAATGCACCCCAGCTTCTTAAAAATGCATCCCAAGGAGACAACACAGCTGTGTGTTTGCAGTGTGAACAATTGTGCGGAGCACACTGCTCCCTGGAGGCAGCATCTCTCTTCTCATCATCTGTAGGGAGCAGATGATGATGATGATGAACTTAAATTAGTGCACAGGTTACAGGGTGGGGTGAAACGGAGTTTATGGGGCTCAAAACAGGGTCCCAAATTAACAAATATATCTGACCAAAATCCACTTTTGTAAAGTACAAATATTCATACAGGACAGCTGAGAAGCAAGGGCTGGCAGTGCTTGTTCTGAGTTGTTCCTATGCTGCTGTAGCAGTGTGGTGAGAAGGAAAGAGAACAAAATAAGTTTTGTTACTAAATTAGGAGGGGATCCTGGATATAACTGCAAACATCAACATTCATGTGCTAGAAAGCAGCTGAGAGGGCTGTGCAGTCTGCCTGAACTTTTGGAATTGTTAAATTCTTAACTTTGCTGTCTGAAAAGTTATTTTTATCACAGCATATGCATGGGTCTGGGCTGATGTTCTGTCCCTTCTCTATTTTTACTTTCAAATAGAGCGTAAAATTACACCTGTTAGATAAGGGAATGGTGCAAGCCCTTTAATTCTGAAAACTACAGTTGAGACAGACTTCTGATCTGATGGCAGCATAAATCATAAGGAACTTTTCCAACCCTAGTCACGTCAAATTGAATTTATTTATTTTTGAATTTAGCTGATAGGAATTTATTCTGTTACTGATGCTCTTCTGTTAGATGCAATTAGTGTTATTTTTGTAAATATGAAGCAGGAGAGAAACCTTCATAAAGGAGATAGCAAAGTTATCAAGCTACATACTTCCCTCTAGCTTTTTTATTTTTTTTTAAGTATTAGCATTCAGGAATACTGAAGTTTTTTGTGCGTTTATGACATTTTTTTAGAGCCTATGCAGGACAGGGACCACAAGGTGTCGCTACCTCAAAGGAAACAGCTCTCATTTCTAGAGGTGTAAAAATGAACTGCACTTTGCTGCTGCTTTACAAGATTCTCTACTGTTTGTTTTTCATCCCCTTGGCTACGTTTTCTCTTGACAGCCTCATGGTTTTCTTCTTAGCCTGTTTCATAGCCACTTCCAGGAAGTAGAGCAAAGAGGGGAGATAGCATCTCATCGCTCACTGGGCTTGCTTATTAAATTGCAAGCTGGTCTGTGCCATGAAAGGTGTGCTCAGAGGCTGTGTGGGGACGGCTTTCGAGTTCTGAGGCTTCATGAAGTTCCTGGGACCATTCCACACTCAGACTCGTGCCAGCAGCTTCGCATTTTGTACGTATAAATGTACCTCTGTGTAATGTAAAAGGTCACATCAGGGGATGCCTCTATCATTCCCTATTTGTAAGACATCTCAAGCTCTTCATCTCACGCTGCTGTAAAGCCTCACAAATGTTTGCCATGCCTCACAACACCAGCAGCGTGCTGGCTGAGCTAGCAGAGCGATGTTTCAGTACCTGAATTGCCCCTTGTAAGAGCGGGTCTTGCTAGAAGGTGCTTGGAGAAGAGCAGTGTAAGGGAGCCAGCACCAGTACTGCTCCTCTGAGGTGCTTTAACCATCTTGTGTGATGTCCAAGGGGCTTTGAGGCATCTTTGATATACTTAGTGATGGCTTTTTTCCTTCGTGAACTTGCCTACTTGTGGTTTTTCTTAGGTCTGTCACTAACACCACCTTTCCACCTACTTCAGGCTTTCTCAGAATCACGTAGATGTTCACTTGCTCATTGCTTCCTCTTCAGATACGGCTCATCCCTCCCACCATGGTGAAAAGTCTTAATTTCTTCAGCATGGTTTATTGTAGAAAATGCAATTTCTGTGTCTTCCACTATCCTTGTCACCCTTCCCTGTAATTCTCCTACTTCTCCTTCCTTCTGTGTCCTTTCAGTGAGCTCAGGGAACGAGAGGCTCGCGTGAAGCCCAGAGCTTTGCCTTCAAAACCTGAAAAGAGACTGTGGAAACTATCAGCTAATGTCAAGATGTGCTCTGACTCTTCATTCTTGTTTCCAACAATTTCCACAGCAGCCAGCGCAGGGATGTCCGGCTGGTTTTTGTACTGATGAGTGTGAAGCAGCGAGGCTGCTGTAGCTGTCCTAAAACCTGTGAACAGTCATTTCTTACAGTCACCTATATAAGCTGTGCTCATGCTGGGTGTTTTTAATTTTTAGAGGAATAATACTGGTCTCTACTCCCTTTGTTTTTATCTTTCAGAAAATCACCAACCGTGTCTTAGGGAGGAAGGTGCCTTGGAACTGATAAGGATCTTCTCTTCAAATGAAAGCGCGTTGTGCCTAGTAAACTGCTGCATCTTCCTCTGTAAAGGAGATTGTGAAGTGAAATAGATAATGCAGTAAATATCATGCAATGTATGTTTTGTGGCATTCAGTGGTGTCTTTTTGTACTAATAGAATCTTGCCATATTTTTTAAGATATTAAAGGATCAGTGGTGCAAAGTGAGTGACAGATTTTTAAATAAGTGGCTGTTGCTTGTAGTGCTGTTATGGACTTCCAAAATTGGAAGTCCATAAATTTTGGCAGTACTTGGTCCACAACATATTTATAACTACCTGATTTAAATAGGAGTTTTATATAAATTAAATACTTTTTAACTGAGATTTTTATTATTTTTATAATTATCTATTTCATTGTAGAAAACCTGTTTGTAATTGTTTTGTACTGGAAAAAAAATATTAAATAACATCAGGTGAACTTGTAGCAGCTATTGTAGCAATCATGAAATATATTTTCGCTGTCCTTATGGACAAGATGGAAAGAAATCATGCTGTCATCACCACTGACTACCCACCACAGGACTCTGTTAAGAATTTACAGTGCAACTGTGACAGCTGTTTAAGCTGGACATCATTAGTACCTGAAACTGAAGATGTCATGACTACATTTACTTTTTGATTGGTTTGCTGTCTTTTTGTGTTAACAGGAGAATCTAATCAAAGAATTTTTATTATTATTATTATTATTTTATTTTTTTACTATTTTGAGTTTTTAAGGTTTGCCAGGGAGAGTCCCCGTCACTTCATTAGATGCTTTTATATTCACAGGATGCTTGGTTATGCACTTAATGAGCAACACAGTGACAAAAGATGAAAAATAAAGATTGTGGTTCTGGGTGATAGATGCCTGAAGTCTGTTTTATTGGCTCACCGCAGAGTAGATCTGGTGTGTACACAGGAAAAGAAACCTGAGGAAACCTAAGTGTGCAAACGGCAGCTTTCTTTTTCATACACCTTTCTTTTTCATACACCTTTAAGTGTTCTCTACTTAAAATCTTTACAGCAATTTAGTTCGAGGAACAACTTGAACAATAAATTCCTGCAGAGGGTGAGGCACAACGGAGACTTTTTGACCAGTCATGTTCACTAGGAATGTCCCAGAACTTCTTGGTTCACCCCTGTGCTGCGCGGTCACAGTGGTGGCTGTGATCTAGCTCTGCCAGTAATCCCTGGAGTTCACATCAGGATGTAATGAATCAAATCTTATAATGATAGGAAATCGTTTCCTGGAAGGTCAGTAGAACTACACTATATTGCAAAGACATAGACAAAGATTTAGAATAATATTTTTCAAGCTGTGGCATGTGCTAGTGTTGGCACATGCTGTAAAAGCAGCTGTTACATGCATTTATTTGATTTATAAATTTTTATTTTATGAAAGGAAATACTCTGAGAATATATCTGGGTGTGCTCTGCTTATCAGAACAGAATGCAAAAAAAAATCAAAAACATAATCTAATGTGCCAGAAGGCCATGCCTGCCTGGTCTGGTCTCGGAAATCTGAAGTTGAAAACTGCAGATTAAAAATAATACAGCATCATGTGGCTGTGATAGATCAGCTACAGGAATGGCTTATATCCTTACAACTTTCCACTTCTCTAAATTTGCTTTTACCTATTTGCTGCTTCCTCTGCCTTGCCTTTGGAATCGGTTTGGGTGCGGGCTGCTTTGCTTTCAGAGTGCTCTTCTGGGGCTAGAAGGCAGCTTTGTATGTTGCTGAGGCAGAAGATGCTCAAACTTGCCAGTACTGAGGTTTGTCATGCGCTTCCCTGATATACATATGAATAGGGTTTTTTTTTTCCCCTGCTACAAGAAGTTCAGTTGTGTTAGTCATGGCAAGATGTTGCCTCACTGAAAGCTCATTTAAAGCCACTTGGCCTCTGAAAAATGCTTTTAAACTTCCAGCTGATGAGGAGAAAAAAAAAAACACTCCGAGAAAGCTTAAGGGCCGTACTGATGCTTCAGGATATGCTTGGAAGTCATCCTGCATTCACATAACACAGCTGATGGTATTTTTTTTAATGGCCTTAGCATGCCTGTTCATTGCTCCCTCACAGAAGCAGAGAGGTCAATAATTGAGAACATTGCAAATCAAAGAGGTAGAGGTAAGTCTATTGCAAGCAGTTGGAGCACCCATCCTCCGAAGTAGAGAGCTGCACGCTGTAAAACCTTTCAAAACAAAGAGCTGCTGCAATTTTATTTTTTTTTTAACCTTGCTTAAAGGTGTTCAGTAACTGCCAAAATACTCTGAGCAGTCGCTGCTGTTCTCTGAGTCACAGGAGTTGCAGCATGAGAGCTTCAGCAAGAAATAGCTGTAATTCCTCATTTGGTAATGACATCGGAGCATTTTTCTATTGCTCGGGGAGATGTGGTTGCTTCTGTTAAATTTTTTCTGTCCAGGCATACCTCAGTATATCAGGAAGTGTGAGCTGAAAATTGTTCTTGGATGTCTTATGCCGGTCTTGGGCTGCGCAAAGAGTTTCTGAACTCTGAAGTTTGTGGCTCTTTCTGTAACACTGCAAAGCAAACGTGCACTTCGCATGCAGTGTGGGGAGGAAAGTGTTTTAGAGGAGCACTCAACGTCTCTTCCTCCCCTTGGGGTAAGCACCTGGCATTCCGGATGACACCAGGAGGAGCTGCACTTTCTCAGAACTTACAAAAACGAGGTCAGCGGCCAGGTTTCCAGGAGCAGTGGCAGTCTCCTGCCTGGTCACATCCTTGAACGGTGTGGTCATCCATCCTTCTCATGACGGATGCTAGCGAAGATGACTCACATCCATTCCACTTTACAATTCCTTGTCCTCGGGTCAGATAAAGCTCACGCTGGGTGAAAAGCATCTCGTGTTTACAGTTCTCTGGAAAGAGACTGTTGATGTTTGGAGTCATGGGTTAGAAAATGGGACAACTTTTTTCCAGAAACTCAGGAAATCATGCTCGTCTTGCCCTGATTTCAGAGTGGAGTCATCTCTTCTTAATCCCCTGCCAGACAGAGACTTTTAGGGTAAATTCTGCAAATCTGCACAAGTTTAAAGAGGGTGGAACTGTATTTTTGTTGTTGTTTAGGATGCTGGAGGTGCACAAGCTTTTGCTCTGAGTTAACCAGAAACGTTCTTTGATCAGCGTTTGCCATGCCCACCCCACACAACGGTTATTGTGTGGGTGCCAGGTATGTGTCTGAGTCTCACCGACAGGCCTGCTGTCACAGCTGCCACCTCAGAGATGGAAGAGAAAGCGGTCTTTTGACCTAAATCCAGAAACCGAAAGCAGCTTTGATCTAGTCCTGTTGTCATTCATTTCTACCTTGCTCATCACCGAGTTAATTTAATGGCTGGCATTTGGCTTTGCACTGCCTGTTGATGCACCCTCAACGAGCTGAACTTGAGGCGGTTGGGGCAAGGAAGCAGTGGAGTGAGGGCTGTAGAAATCAATCAATTTTACAGTATAGTTCTATTTATATTTATGTTAAATCCCCTCTTTCTTGATGGGTGCTTTGGAGTCCTTTTTGAAGGGAACCACTTTCAGGTTAGAGGGCTGCCTCATCAGGAGGCTTCAAGGGAACAGGTGAGGAGCTTGAGCTGATGCTCTCAGGGACACGTTTTCTCTCCTCACTGATAAACAGAAGGATTAAATCACCCTTACGATCGGTTCCCATGGCAAAGGAAAGGTGAAGTGTGACTTTTTTGGAAAGTCCTGCACCGAATGTGGTTGCGTTACCATTCGCCTGTCTGGCTATGGCTGGGTCTGGGGCTTCTTGCTCCTGGAGGGAGGCTCCTGGCTTCACAGAGGGATTTCTGCTGCCTGAAGTCGGGCGTAAATTCGATAGTGGTTGTGCCACAGGCTGCAGGACAAGGCAACAGGAGGACCTGGAAGAGGAAGACGCCGAAATGTGGTTTGCCCCACGCAAGCAGGTAAGCTAACTGCTTCAGCCTGCCTGTTAAAGCGTCTGGCTTTATAATTCACTTTTCCTGAAATGAGATTCTAATTAAGAAGGAATAGTGCTTCCTGGCTGGCTGTACAATACCCCAGATCAAACTCTAATCCAGTAAAGAAGACTTTAATATAATTGCTTCCTTCATGCAGCATTTACTGGCTCGCCAGCTGGATGGCTGTGCTTGCGGACAGCCCAGACCCTACCACGAAGTCCTGGGGCGTGCTCGTCCCAGGCTTGAGCGAATTCAGCTGAGCTGATGTAAATGGGAAAGACGCGACACTTTCACACAAGCAAAGCTTGAAAGTCAGACTTATATTAATATTTTTCTCCCTACATCAGCAGATAAACTGAATTCTCCGGGCCAAATTAGACCCTGTGGGACGGTGAACGACCTCTGCATGACAAATGAAAGCCCTGTTGATTAATACCCTTCTGGAAGGCACTCAAATTCCACGGTGATGAGGACAGTTTTGAGGGCTCTTGATGGGGAAGAGGGTTTTCTCCTTCCACAGGCTAATTTCATGCGTGTGCCCATCTGCTGCAACCCTGTCGTGGTCTAGCTCCAGCAGAAGCTACTTCAAACTTGATGCAAAAATAAAAGAAGGGAAAGGTTTTGGCTTGTTTGCCAAGCTCTCTGCTGGGTCCTGTGCCCAGGTTTGGTTTGATGTGTCCCAGACTTTCCCCTAGGAAGTTTCTGAGGCTCTGAGCCCTGTGGGATGGAGCTGGAGGACACAGCATGCCAGGTACACTCTGTGGCCTCCTGCATGCCTGCGCACGAGGAGGCAAGTTTCTGTGGTATCCTACAGTCTTATTAACGGGACATTATGTGAAATTGGGTATAGGGAGCTCCTACAGTCTTATTAACAGGACATTATGTGAAATTGGGTATAGGGAAACCTTTTATTTTTTATTTTTTTGCCCTATCTATCAAGGCATCGTGTAGAGCTGCTTTATGTAGAGCTGCTGTGCTACGGTGC